GTCACAACAACAAGGTGTGTCGCTCGAGATCAGCCCCTAACTCCAATGCGCCACACTGGCCTCAAGCCAATTTCACGACACAGTCCTTTTCTGGAAACAATGCGAACTGGGTCGTAGACTTCGGCGCATCACACCATATGACCTCGGATTTACAGAATCTATCCACTCACTCAGAATATGGTGGTAATGAAGACATTATGGTTGGCAATGGTAAAAAATTTCCTATCACCCATGTTGGAACTACTATGCTTATCTCCCCAAGTACTACCTTTCAGTTAAATAATGTTTTGTGTGCACCAAATATAAAACAAAACTTGTTGTCTGTTTCTCAATTCTGCTCTCATAACAATACTTCTATTGAATTTTCCCAAATTTCTTTCATGTGAAGGATCTGAGTACGGGGGCATCCTTGGTCCATGGCCGGAGTAGAGGAAACGTCTATGAATGGCCCACAGCATCCTCATCACCATCTGCCTCCTTGTCTATCACCTCTTCCTCTGTAACTGCTTCCGCACACCCCGATTCGTGGCACTGCCGACATGGGCATCTCTCATCTCAAGTACTTCAAAAATTAGTGGTTTCTAAATCTATTTCTTTATCTAAAACTAGTTCTTTGTCTCATTGCAATGCTTGCTTATGTAATAAAAGCCACAAATTACCATTTGGAACCTCATCTTTATTGTGTTCAAAACCTTTAGAAGTTCTATTTATTGATGTTTGGGGACCAGCACCTTTAACCTCCTTCGATCATTTCCGATATTATATCATCTTCGTGGATTATTTTACCAAGTATACATGGTTTTATACTCTAAAACCATGTATACTTCCTTCGTGGATTATTTTCGTTTGCTTTAAAAAGGTTTTTTTTGTTTATTCTTCTTCTTCATTTTTACAACCATTCCTTCTAACGTACTTTATTTTTTAGATGGTTGTCGTTTTTGCAGTCAGTGAGAGGTTTTCTAAATATTGTCGTGCTTTGGCTAATGTTTTCCTGTTATCTCCTTTTATTTAGTTGCCATTCTTTGATGTAATTGTCGTTTTATATTGACGTGGATTTTATTTTAGTGTTATTGTTTTCTGAGGCTAATGTCGTTTTCTCAATTTGGCATTGTTCTTCAGTAGTTGCCGCTTTTATCTTGATGTGGTTTTCTTAATGGCAGTGATATTGAGGTGGATTTTATTTTATGCTTAGTGTTGTTGTTTTATGAGACTAATATTGTCTTCTCAATTTGACATTGTTTTTCAGCAATTGTCTTTTGTCTCTTGATGTAGGTTTCTTAATGGCGATGTCCTTTTTATCGAGGTTATTGTCGTTTTCTCTATTTGATTTTGTTTTTAACGTTATTGTCCGGTGAATTTCTGATGTCGTGTTTCTCGGTTTATACAAAATTTTTTTTCATAATTGCGATCTTCTAATATGTGTCATTTTATAAGGTTTTTGTTGTTACACATTTGATGTCGTTTTTACATGTTGTTGTCGTTTTTTAAGCTGAAACTTCCTAGGAGAATACAGTACGGGGAAAACTTTTGATAATATGAAGTGATCATAGTATCGGGAGTAGATTGCAGTATGAGAAGAGGCCTGATGAGATTCTCCGAAGCCGGAAACTATAATTTGATGAGAGAGAAAACCGCGACAAATCCTTCGTCCGTTGTCCTTTACACTACGAAGCTTTTCACTTCTTCCAACGAAATCATCTTCTCTCTGTAAGTTTCCATAAGTTTCTCTCTTTGGAAAATCTGAATCAAAGAGATGGCATTGGTCTTTAATGGCGTCGACGACAAAAGGGTTTCTCTGTCCTCATGACGTTCTCGATACATATTATCCTCGTTTATATGTTGATGTAGTTTAGTGAGATTATTGTCGCTTTTGTCATTTTTGACGATTTTCTTATTAATGTTGTTTCTCTGACTGATTCATTTTTTGACATTTTTGTTACGTGTTTATGTCCTTTCTTTGATTGACTTCTTTATAGTCTGTTTCTGTTTTCCTTTTCTTTTATCTAACCAATGTCATTTCTACTATTGCGTTTTGAGATATGTAGTTCGTGTCGTTTTCTCTATAAATGTGTTGTCGTTTTTCCGCTTCAATGTCGATAATTTTAATGATGTCGTTTTTCCACTATTTTTATTATCTCAATTTGATGTCGTTTTCGGTGTAGCCGTTTGAATTCCACTATTTATGTCTTACCATAAATGTTGTTTTCTTAAACGTACTTACCATTCTCTGATATATGTCGTTTCTTTCCTATCAACTTCTCATCCCGTCTCTCTTTATGGGCTGTTTAGTTTGCTGATTTGAGTTTTTAATTCGAGTTAAGATGTGATTTTATGTGAAAGTTTTTTACTGTAACAAAAAAGTTAAATATGACTGTTTGTGAGAGCTTTTTACTGTAGTAAAACTCTAATTATAAACTCGAATCAGCGACATGAACAGGAACTTAGTTTCTCTCGTTCTAAATTGCAAGTGAACAAGATTGCACTAGTCGTTTAGCGGACTCTCGATTCTTGAGACTTTAGTTGGGAACTTTATCTATCGTGGTTCCAGACTCCTTATCGTTTAGTAAAATAACTTTTTTGTCTTTGACGCTTTTGTTTTGTTATTAGTTACATTTCTTTTTTAGGATAGTTACATTTCTGTTATTGGTTAAATTTTTCTGTCCTTTTACATGTCATTGACGTTTATCTAAGTGATGTCGTTTTCATATTCTTTTAGCTTTTTTAAATAATGTAGGGCTGTTCAACAGCCATAAAAAACTCAAAAAAAAAAAAAAAAACAACTCTGAGTTACAATTTATTTAAATTCATGTTTTTTTAAGTTTGAACTCGAGTTTGGGATTAAAACTCGAGTTCAAATTTTTCATTCAACTCGAGTTCATAAATTCAGACTCAAATTAATGAATATTATTTTTTATATTCTTAAAAGTACTATAATTTTTTCGTTTTAATTCTGATTGAGATGATTTTTTTCTATGTGTTGATAACAAAAAGAGGAATAAAACCTCACCTATATATCCTATTAAAATTTTCCATCACCGTTGAGTTTTTATTAAAATATTATTTAAATACAAATTCAAGTTTTGACTCACTCAAACACAAACTCAAAAAGATTATTATCTCAAATCATAACTCAAATGTACACAACTAAACACAAACTCAAGTTACAACTTCAACTCAAGTTATAACTCAAACTCAACACAAGATCTTCATTCAAGAATGCCTAACTCAAAAATGCAAAAAAATAACCCCTAGTCTTATGTTCGTATTGTCGTCTTATTTTGAAGTTCTTTTCGGAGGTATTTGAAGTTATCGTGTTAGTATGCAAGTTTGGTTTCTCCATTCCATCTCATATTTCATTTTACTGTTTTCGTTCGTACTTCTGACGTTGATACCGGTTATATTAGACGTTCTCGGTTATCAGTCTTATTTTTCTTGTAGATTTTTCCCCTTTTTTTGCCCTTTTTACATGTTCCTGTCGTTTATCTGATTGATAATTTTTATTTCTTGTCGTTTTTTGCTTTTTTTTTTTGCCCTTTTGTCTTAGATGCATTTCGTTGTTGATATATTTATATATATATAGCGCGATTTGAACTCTTTACAAAGCCAATAGATTGAAAATAGGGTACGGACAGGAAAAGGAAGATATATATATATATATATTTATGAAAAAGAGGTAAATAAGGAGAAGAAAGTTTTTAATTAATATGGTAGGAGATCACGATCACAGATGGATCCATTTTAAAATGTTTTGAAAATTTTCCTTCACATTTTTTGTTTATATTTTAAATTACACTATTAGATTTTTTTTTTTTTTTTTTTTTTTTTTTTTTTTTTACTCGTATCCATTATTTCAAATATAAGAACCCAAATAAACAAAAACTAGCTAACATACAATAGCAATTAAGTTTATATGTATGGTGGGAAAAATTATTTAAAGATTATTAAAGAAAGTAAAATAAAGAGATAATAGTAAACATAATGAATTTTTGAGTATTTATTACTCTGTCAATTGATTTTTAAAAATTTAATTTAATTCAAAATTTCCTGAAAAATCTTTAAGCTCCCGTATCTCTAAAAATATAGTGATCATATACAATATATACATCTAATAAAGAACATCTTTAATTTGCTAAAACAAAATACGAATAATAAACAAATTTCTTATGAAACAAATGTACTGCGTAATAAACAATGATGAGACTTGAGAGTTATCAATGTTAATCCTTAAATATATATATAGATACAGATATGTAAATAGTAGTGCCAAATACTGAGTAGTAACAATATCCGGTCGTCTTTCTCTCCAATACAATTAGTCATTTTTCTTCAATCCAAAAATATTAATTGATAATAATAGTTACGCACGTAAAATGACATCTGTTACAGAAGAACAGGGACCTGAATTATGAGCATATGTGAGCTATATGCTGTTCTCTAACTCTAATACTGATGATGAATTACTAGAAATATAATCACGTTCCATCTTATAATCATTTAAAATTTTATAAAAATATATAGTTATAGCTAGAAGTACAAGATGAAACAAAAGAAATTATACTATTTAATATATGTATTAAATTCAAAATGTTTTAATATTTAATGTCACAAATGATATGATATAAGGTTATTTACATTTTCGTACCATGCATTAAAAATACTAAACCCCTAAAACTTTAAAATGTTACAACATCACTGTATACTTGGTGAACTAAAAACCGTATAATATGACAAAAAGGAAAGAAAATCTGCCATATAAGATTTAGGTCCCGTTCATTTTACTGATTCGAGTTTAGAATTCGAGTTTTGTTGCAGTAAAAAACTTTCAGAAATGATTACATCTAACTTTTTTACTACAGTAAAAAATTCTCACATAAAGTCACATTTTAACTCGAATTAACGAAATAAACGAACCTTAAATTTGTTGGGAATTGACTGTTGATAAAGATTTTCTTGGACCTCACCTGCTGGTGCTTATGGACCTCACCTGTCCTTACGATACAATAAGCAGATTGTTCTCGAATCCTTCGGTTTTAACAACTGGTCTTAGGGGATCGATCCTCCACTCACCATCAACAATGAATTTGATCTGTCACATTGTTGGAAACCATTGCGATATATATATATATATATCAATATCATTATATTTGTTTGTGGTCCAAAATCGTGACCAAGTAGGTCAGACTCAAAAAAAGGGCCCCCTCACAAGGCTCATGTGGATCCCATCAGGTGGGACCCACTCATTGTGTCTGATAAGAATAAATTTGGACCGGATACTTTAGCATTTTTCAATAATAAGAGTACAAAATTGACCCACCTCGTATTGGCCCGGATATAATTGCAGCCACAAAGAGAAGAGTCATGTGCTTGACTTTTTCATCTTTCTCTGCAACAATATAACGCAAGTTTAGGTTATGCTACTTCAGTTCGTAAGATTTGAATTTTTAATTTTAGTTAAGATGTGATATTTTTTAAGAATTTTTAATTATATTAAAAAAAATTAAATGTGATATTTTTTTGAGAGTTTTTAACTGTAAAAATTTAAAAATTTAAGCATCCCTGCAGGTTTCATAAAATGAATTATTTCTCTCGTGCCCCTATCAAGATGTGGAGGTTTATCAAATTGTAGGTTCTTTCTTGTGATAATTAATTATATATAAATATATGTAATTGCTGCATGACAAATATTAATGCAATTTTGAAATCAAAGTTACATTTTTAAGTTTGGAGCTTCTGTTTTTATTTATTTATTTATACCTCTTTTCATAAGCACTATAACACATATATACTAAACCTAAAATCAACTTGTAATTCATCAACTCCCGTTGAAAAACAAATACACTCACCAATATATTATTGATCGGTTTATACGGCATGAAATAAAGCTCCGTTCATTTTGCTGATTCGAGTTTAGCTACAGTAAAAAACTCTCACAAACAATCACATTTAACTTTTTTGCTACAGTAAAAAGCTCTCACATAAAATCACATCTCAACTCGAATTAAAAACTCGAATCAGCGAACTAAACGGGCCCTAGGATACGGCTTTTGAATTTGAGAGAAGGTTTCAGGTTCGATCCCGCAATATAATATATAATTAATCAGTTTAAAATAATAAAATACCTGAGTTGCCCAACCGTCAAATGATCCAGCTAAAAAGACTTGTGAGCTGGCTGAATTAGGCCAAACTACGCAAGTAGAGTAAACAAGTCGTAAAGCTCTACGAGCATCATCAATCTTCTTCTTCTTTTCCTCAACAGTATTCCGTGCATCTCTGAAAAAGGGTAGGAAAAAATCGAAAATAATTTGTTAATTAATGGTTAATTAAGAAAGTTAATCATGTTTCTGTTAAATTGATATTCAAGACTTGTGCACACATTATTGCCAGTGCCATCTTTCCTTCTAAGACAGCTAACTTTGCACGTGTTGACCGTAATTTATCCTCGGCTTTCGAAATCTCACTGTCCTGAACCTCCCAAAACTCCAAACCGTCGTAACGCTTCAGCAATTAGTCGTCACCGGGAGACAAACAAATTAAATAAACATGATTAAAGTGGTAAGCCAAATTCGAAATATTATTTCATACTAAAAATTCACACATGACACACAACTAAAATCCTTTTGGTGAATATGCATCTCGTAATTAAGGAGAATTAAGTAGTATGATATGCAAAATTTGTATTAAGTTCTACGTGTTTTGTACACATTTTATTTATTTTAATGTGAAGCACTACCAATCAATCACCTTTGCCGTAGAAGCTCCCATAATTAAAGTCATACTTAAGTTAAGCTAGCCAATATATAGTTTTATTTTGACAAAAAGCTTATAAAATTGTGGCATCTCAATTTTCGAGATTTGAATCTTCTTGATTTGTTTTTTTCCTCATTTATTCTACATAATATTTAAAAAATGTCACAATGAAAGTAGTTGCAGAATTACGTGCATAAATGGACAAAAATGCTAGACTTTTTAAGGACATAAAATTTCATCTTAAAAAGTCAACTTATTTAGTGATATAGTTCAATATTCTTATAAGTTGGTGGTCGAGTTTATTTTGCTTTTTCAGATACTACTACAACCTAATTTTGTGACACGAATTCATTGATGACAATAGACCTAAAAAAACACACACACAGAGAGACAAATGAAATAAAACAGTTGCATAAATTTTATACATGTACAAATAAACAAAGATCCAAAAACTACCTTTTGTGACGCAAATTCATCGGTGGTATTGGACCTTACAGAGCGAAGTACAGCCGAGGCCTCCAACTCCAGTTGCTGAAGGCGATTTCTTATAAATCTGTCATGATTAATCTTTTCAATACGTACATCCAATTCATTCCAATCACAATTATCGGCTTCACGATTACCACTTTCTACTGTTATTATCTCATCTTTTGAAGTCATGTCCATCGACGACGTCCCTTCTATACCAGTACTAGCTTCACTTGGTGCAATTTCAATATCTGTACATCAAACGAGTGACTATATAGTTTTTTTTTTTTTTTTTTTTTTGTTGAAAAAAAAGGTCACTATAAGAGACTAGAAATTTCAATATATAATAGTTTGAACAAATTACTAACCGGTTAACAAAGAAAAAGCTGTTAGAAAAAAAACAAGTATAAAAAAAAAAAATTGTACCTTCAATATCGACATCTCTAAATCCTGCCCGTTGAATGCTCCAAGATCTCCACATTTGTGGCTGATCATCATCATCAGAGTTTCTTAAACCGTCAACGTCAGGGAAAGATTTATGCTGTTAAGATTCAGTCAGTTATATGTAATGTAGGTTAGATTTTGTACAAACCTCAAAAATTCAAGAGCCAGGTAGAACAAGATATTATTATTATTATTATTTTTTTTTTTTTGTTTTTTGTTTTTGTAAGACACCAAGTACTATACTTAATACTTACCGTACTGTCGGTTGAGAATCTTGAAAATTGCCAATCGACTTTGCCATTGTTAGAACCTGCGGAGAATGTAGTACTATAATCTTCATGTTTTTCTCGCACACCAAATCCAATATTAAAATCTCTCTGTCTCTCTAACCGACTCAACATGCCTTCAATTCCAGTTTCATGTTTTGTGCTCGGCGTTTTTCTATCGAAAAACATAAAAATGATAAGTAATTAATTCACCTCTTTTTTCGTTAAATAACTTACTGATATATATAGCCAAAATAATTTCTAATCATATCACATGAAAAATTAAAGAAAATTATAGAATTTCAGGATGCATATTTTCACTTGTGTATGTGTACTGTTTTCATGCCGTTGCTCCTAGAATTAGGTAGGCTGATTACAGTCGTCGGTAATCTTGAAAAGACATCTGTATAAAATAGTTTAGCAAGCGAAAATGCGCTTAATTTTCGGTTTTCTTTGTGAATTTTATTTTATTTTTAAAAAAAAATCATGGAACCTAAATGTGTCGTTTGCTGTTCAGATTTCATATGACATGAGAGTTATTTGTTCTTAGAAAAAAAAAAATGTTTCAGTTTTATAGCCAAATCAGGCTAATTTATGATAGAAACTCTCACAGTGAGCTACCCGGAGACGAGGCTGATTGATCAGGAGAATCATCATACGGACAGAAAGAAACCACCGCAGAGCCCTCTGATCTATGTTCATCATCATCATCATCATCATCATCCCAAGAACTCTTGATACTTTGCAAGAGAGCATCACTTTCTAATGCGGTCGTCGAACTTGGAACATTATCACTAACTTCATTAATAACTTCTTCATCATAATCTTCAACTTCTTCCGAATCCCAACCCAAGGAAAGCCAACCTCCTTGCTTAACAATAGCGTCCACCAAATCATCCCGACCGGCACAGACCAACTCTTTCTTGCTCGGAAACGAATCTGGCTTCTCCGAATTCTTCATGAAATCCAGAATCTCCTCCTCCAAGACGTCAATTACGTCATCAACGTCCATTTTTCCGACAGACTCTTTAGCCAATAGAGTACTAGGTGGGTACCACCGGCCGCCGCGCGTCGTCGAAGGCACAAAGCACTGCCGATTCTTCCCCTTGATTGGTCCGGGCTTAAGGAAGAAGAACCGACAATGGGGCGAGACTTTGTGAGCCGATGAAGACGTGGAAACTAGTGAGGAGATCAGCATCGGCATGGCGGGTCGGGCATTTCGTCGAAGACATGGTAATGGAGCCGGCCAAGGCAAGGATAATGATGACATATGTGATCATGTGCTTGTTGGAACTCCGGGCAACAAAGAAATTATTAGGCAGAAAAAACAATGATATGATAATGATGAATAGAAACCATGAAAAAACGAAGCATGCACGGATTGCATTATCGATTACCCGCCTCATGTTAATTGCGTGGTCTGTGCTTCATCAAATCAGATATTTGGTTGGGGAACAATCGGACTGATGGCTTTTAATTTTTTCAAATTCAATAATGCGAGGTGAAAGTTCTCAATAATTTAACCTTTTTTTTTATTATATAGATATATCACAATGTCAATGCATCTCATCAAATAAAATGCGATGATTAACTTGTAACATTAATTGATATATATGTGCATATATATATATATATATATATATATGAAAATTAGTATGTCTAGCTAGCATTATTTGAATCTGTAGATGATATGTTTATTTGTTTGTCAGTATTTTCAAGCCTATGATCTAAAGTGTAAGGACTAAAATAATAAAGAAAAAAACAAGAGGTAATTTTTACAAATAGTCCATAAACTTTATCTTTTTCTAATTTTGATTCTTAATTTACACAAATTTCATTAAGTATTTAATACCTTATTAACAGAATGACCGAAATTAAAACGAAATGAAACCTCTAGGACCAATTATGAGACTTTTTAAAAATCAAGAACCAAAGAGTTGAAGGTAGATCTCAAAGACCATTTTTGGGATCAACCCGTTTAGGTAGAAGAGAGAAAAACTAATGTTTATTTGCTTGAATTCAAGAGAGGATTGAATTAGGATTTTTACGCTATTTGAGTAGTTTGAATTCTGATTTTGCTCTCAAACCCCAATTTGAATTGAAAAATAATTAGAGTTGAAGATTTACAGCTTGTACCCCAATTTGATCTGACACCCATATTCCAGGACCATACAATTTTGTTACATGAAATGCGCCAAAACCAAAGCACGACACTCTTGAGAGAAATAAATGAATTCTAAAGATCTTGGACAAATCCAAAGAGGGTTTGTTTGTACTTCATCACAAAATATTCTAGATCTCACTACACCCAATATCAGATAGTTGCCAAAAAAAACACAAGCCAGAAAACACAATATGTACACCAGCCACACCTTCATAGCTCCAAATACCCGAATTCGTTATAATCCCCTAGGTAATACTCCAATCCCCCTCCCCCGTGAACTGGTTATTCTTAAACGAGTCATGATGGGTATAATGAACATATCTTGTATCAACATTAGATTAATTAAGGACAGGGTCAGAAAGATTATAAACAGTTAATTTATTTAGAGTCATCGAACCAACCAAACCAACAAAACTCGAATTAATTAAAAGAATAAATAATATTAAAAACCATTAAAAAAAAGGTGGGGATCACTCTTTTTGGAGAACAATATGATTGGATGGGATACCTTATCCCAAGCAAAGAAAATTTCTTTGGGATAGGAGAATTTATTTCATGTCACATGATTCCCTAACATTAGACAAAACTATATAGTCCAAATCCCCTCTCTTATTCTATGCACCACACATGCTCTAAATTGTCGTATTTTTCTTCTTCTTGTATTGTTTGATGATTAATGAGGAAAAGAGAACGTGATAAAGGTGTACATTCTTTTTCATTCCTTTCTTGAGGTCTTCATTTGTACAGTTGGCGGGGTGATTAGTGAGGAAAAGAGAACGTGATAAAGGTTTTTTTTTTTTTTTTCCTCTTGGATTATTATATCTATTAAGTGTGGAGAATACAATGGTATTGGAATTTTAATTTGTGGATACTATTCTACAATCTTCACAGAAAGTTCCAATTAAGGATGCAACAAACAAAGTAGCTAGAATGGTTCGAAATTCTTCATCACTTCGAAAGTACTTTTTGTAGTTTTGTTTCAATTAATGTGTAATCTTATTTTATTCATTCATTTATTTATTTTTGGTCCTCTTGAGACATTAACAATATCAGTCAAAAATTTTCCCTTTTATAGATGAATAAATGATATTGGAGTTCCATTTGTCCTTTGAAGTCGAAAAAATCTTATTCAATCCATCCCCTTAAATTAACAGAAGTACTATTTATTACAGTTTGTAATCTGATAATAAACGTACTAATCTACAACTTTATACTTTTTTAAATTTTAGGTTTCAGCTGTCTTGCATTTAGTTGTTTTGTCTTACATGTATGCCCAGTACAGGTGATGGTTTGGAAAGTATTCTACCTCTAAGTTCTAATTGTTCTGGGTTTGACTTCTAATATTGGTGCCATATTCCAACAATGTTGCGTAAATCCTTTTCTTCAACTTCACAATACTAATTGTTATAAGAAACGGAAAATAAAGAAAAACATAGAGCATATTGAGAACTTTCTGGAACTGTCTCTCAAGTTCGAAATAAGGATCATTCCAGCGCCATCAATTTTTGTTGATGATAATTATGTAATAATTTTTACATTTTTGCTTTTTTGAGATTATTCGGTTGACTCGTTTCTGCCTTTCTGGTGTGGTTCTTGAGTTGTTCTTCAGATCAGTTATCGCTTTTTTATGTTTCTGTCATTTTCTTGTAGATGTCCTCCTTTTTATGTTGTTGACGTCTTTATTTTTTACCTTAAAAATTGCAGGGAAAAACCTAACAATATGAAAAAAAAGGCCATCAAATACTTGAAACAAACTGTAAAACCAACAATAGCAGAGATCCACGGAGGGGGAGATGGAAAGGATCGTTCTATTAGTCTTGCTTTCCTGATCTTTGTGTGGTTTTATCACAATTATTGTCCTTTTCCTTATTGGTGTCGTTTGCATAAATAGTGTCAGTTTTCAGTTGTTGTTTTAATGATTTTTGTCATTTTTACTGAGATCTTTTTTTTTTAATTATTTCTGTGGTTCTCCCTTCCCTTTCAAATGGTATTCAAACAGAAAAACACAAAATTTAAAAACCGACCGTAAAACGACACTGGCAGACACACGCAAAGCGGCAGAGCCGATCGTTAAGGTCGGCAACATGCCTCTTCAGCTTCGCCGTACCCAGGTTCACCACCCGTAAACTTTCGCGACTTTTTATATATTACTTTTTCATGCATGTGATGTCGTTAACTAGGATCTTTGTTTTTATACATCCTATCTTCAGTTGACGTTTTTAAGAGTGTTGTCTTTTTTTCTTTGTTTTTTTCAAAAGTTGTCTTTTTTTAATCACTTTTACTTTCCTATCGTTTTTTAAGTTGACGGCTTCACGCTCACGGCTCATGTTCATTTGATGTCGTTTGCATCATTGTTGTTTCTTATATATGCTGATGTGGCTTTTTAAAATAATGTCTTCTGTGAGGATTATAGAATTTGAGTTTTCTTAAAGTAAAAAAAACTCTCAAAACAGTCATATTTAATTTTTTTATTACAGTAAAATATTCTTATATAAAGTCACATCTTAATTTAAATTAAAAATTCAAATCAACAAACTAAACGAGTCCACGTATTTTTTTAGTTTGTTAACTTATTGTCGGTTTCTCTGTTTATTTTTTTCCCGATTTACGTCATATTTAGGATTATTGCTGTTTTTCATTTGTCGTCATTTGTAATGTTATTTTTATTGCCATTTTCTTTTGTTGTCGTTTTATTATTTTTGTGGTTTACTCAGATCATAGTCGTTTTCATTTCTCAATTTTTTTTTTTCCCGTTGATGTTGTTTTAAGATTATTGCCGTTTTTAGTTGTTATCTCTCTAATGTTTGTCTTTCGTCTTTTTTCTTTCAATGCCCTTTCTATAAATTTTATCGGTTACAAAGATTATTGCGTTTATTTTTGTTTCTGATTTTTCCCCAATTTATGCGATTTTAGGGTTATTGCCGCTTGTCAGTCCTTATTGCTTGTAATGTTTATGTCGTTTTTTGTGAATTTTGCTGATTATTTCTTACTTTGTTTTTTATTTTATTGAGATGTTGTTTTTGAAATTTATGTCGTTTTGTGAGATTATTATCATTTTTCATGTCTATGTATTCCTTTAATTGATGTTGTTTTTATTAACGTTCATCAGCGATGTTGTTTATGTTTTCTCGTTTATGCATACCATTGTCCGTTTTTTATGGTTTTTTAAATTAGTTTTAGGGATTATTGTCCCTCTTTAGTGGTTTTTATTTTAAATTTTTTTATATTAGAACTATTGTATTATTTTTTTTATTTTAGGTAGTTTACTAAGATTATTGTCGTTTTTCATCATCTTAGAATTACTCTTTAGTGGTTTTTGTTTTTATTTTTTATTTTTTATTTTTTATTTTTATTTTTTTTGTTATCATCACTAGTTCATCAAGATTTTTGCAGTCTTAGAATTATTATATTGTTATTTTATTTTATTTTGGGTCGTTTATTAAGATTACTGGCGTTTTAAATCGTCTTAGAATCATAAGTCTAGCACATAGACGTTCAAACTTGGCGACGACTCAAAATCTGCTTAGTAGTAGAAAAGAGAAATTTTTTTTTTGAAGTGAAAAGAGAAAATTTAGAACGGCTTTTTGAATATCTCTTAGCATATATCTGTGATTATCGTTATCTAAAGTTATTTGAAGTTGTGTACGTAGATGAGGTTGATTGGAATTTGAATGTTATTTGATCTCAGAATCATGACAAGATTTTCCTTTAGGTGCATTTGGTTACAATAGGAGAATGGTAATATGAATGAGAATGAGAATGGTAATGATAATGGAATGAAAAAGAAAATTGATTCATTTGTTTGGTTGTATTTTAAAAATTCTCTAGAATGGAACATGAATTTTTTCATGTTGACAAACTTACCCTTATATTATATATAACACTAATATTTTATCTATCAATATAATATATAAAATGTAATATAATATAATAAAATTATTATTATATTATATATTATATAAGTATGATATATAATGACATTGTTGTTACTGGGGATGATGCAGAAGCTATATCATATAAAAAAAAGCAGCTAAGAGATA